GAAAAAAACAGAAGCATTTTCTATGCAGTGTTCTCATTGTTTATATAGATACGGTATCGTTTCTTTATAAAATATATGACGTATCGAGGCAATTAAAAACCTTTTGCTTGTTTCAGTTTCACTTTTTGCATTTGTAGAGAGAATGTCCGGAATGCAAAGGGTTTTTGCCCGTTGGGGGAGCTTGATAGGGTTTCCCCTCTTCAAAGTGTTAAATGCTAAGCCTTCTATTTATACTATCCCACCAGAGATGCTTTCTCTGCATGTTTATTTACAAGAAATGTAATAATAAACTTTCTCCGATTCTTGACTAAAACATAAGTAATAGAATATATATAGAGAGAATCACGGTAATAAGAGGAATAGCTATTCCTGACAAATGTTGAGGTTTAGTATGATTCACGAATATCATCACCTATATTGTCTCAACTTAATCATCTTTTGTTAGGTTTTGAGTTTTATTACAAAAGATTTCAGTGATATAAAAGGTAGAAACTCTCATATATTAATCATCGCTCGGAATCAACATGTGACTGTGGAACATAACGGTACAATAATATAAAAAGTCATGCTTGATTTCAATACTTCAAATAGATGGGTTTCCACGTATATACACAAGGGTGAAGTGTCGATTTAGTCTTTGAACTATCACTTCAGTGAAAATTAGGTCCCTGAATTATTTTTTGGTAAAATAAGTCCCTATATTGATTACAAATTGCTAATTTCATCTCTACTATTATATTCAAAGCTATTTTATCCAATTTTTCGTCAACTTAAGTCACTTGACACACTTTAGAGTGTAATACCATTATTTTCTTGTCTATCAGCCCTTAACATTTCATATTGGTTGCGAATTTAATGTCTAATTTACCCTCGAAAGTTAACTCACACTATTTCTCTAGGAAAAACTATCAATTTATCCTTCAAAGTTAACTTCATACACTATTTCTTTATGAAAAACTATCAATTTATCCTTCAAAGTTAACTCCATACACTATTTCTTTATGAAAATCTACCAATCTACCCTCCAATGTGTATCACATGCAAGTAACATGATTTAAATTGACGAAAAATTGAATATAGTAGCTTTGAATATAACATTAGGAATGTAATTGGTAGATTTTTATAATTCAGGGACTAATGTTTCTAAAAAAATAATAATTTAGGGACCTAATTTTCACTAAGATGATAATTCAAAGACTAAATTGATTGTTCACCCTATACACAAATATCTAATGCCCAACGCATGGGCTCTCAAAATGAACCACTGAAATTAAGATAAAATAAAGGACAAGGAAACCTAGTCGATCCAGATGTTTGATCAACCACATGAAGCTATATTTGAAGATCCTCATCCTAGTGAAACCTTGTCAATTTGAAAAGTCAATCCTACGCCGTGGGAATGGTGCATCAAGTAAATAAAAATCTAGATAAGCACGAAGCTCGCATGAGCAGTGAGTAGGTAATTATGGTTCACAATGTACACTAGGTGTCACATCCCGATCCAGGACGGACCATTTTCCGGACCCGTTCCACCACCGTAGCAAGATATTGTCTGTTTTAGGCCCCGATCACGACCTCACGGTTTTGTTTCTGGGAACTTACAAGCAACTTCCTAGTGGGTCACCCATCCTGAGAGTGCTCTGGCATCCTTCTCACTTAACTTCAGAGTTCTTACAGAACTCGAAGCCAGTGAGCTCCCAAAAGGTCTCGTGCTAGGTAGGGATGTGAATGTACATTTAAGGATCACTTCCCTATACGATGTGGGATGTTACACTAGGGTTGGATATGAATGAGTACTAATTCACAAAATCTAACCACAATAGTGTTTCTCAATGCCATCTTATCCTCAATTGCCACTATGCACTGTTACACATGTCACGTTGCTATGTTATCAATGTTCACCTTCATATATAAAATTAAGCTATAGGCTAGGGTTGTACTTTTGCGCCGAAGCCTACACTTCATGCGGTCCCATAATTTCTTATATAACCAACTGGGAGGAAAGCATAAAGTCCCACAACCACTCAACGGAAATCGTCAAGAATCGTCACTCTATTGAACCTGACTAGAATTTAGAGTTCAAAACCTCTCAATGGAATTCATAGGATGTAGGATCAGACCAGCTCAACTGAATCATAGAAGAACTAGGACCCCAAACCAACTCAATGGAATCCATAGGTTGTTGGGTTCCCAACAACTCAACGAAATCATAAAGGAGGTAGGATTCCAAACCAACTTAATGAAATCCATATGACGTAGGATTCCAGACCAACTCAACGGAACCATAAAGAAGTATGATTCCAGACCATTCATTGGAATCTAACTATCGCAATAGCAATCACACATTATCGACGATGTCATCTCTAACTCATTATAGGTGGAAATGGTAAATTCAATAGGGCACACGTATAGGCACATTTTCACTGCGGTATTTTACGAAGGGATATTTTAAAAAATACTCACCTCGGGTCCAAAGCAATCACAAATCGGAAGGGCATTTAACCGAAGAAGTTAGATGACTGCCAACACCTATCAAAGTATATAACTAATTCTACCATTGATACAACGCGTTCACCAATTCGAATCTCAAAGAACAAATATATAAATTGGATTTTGAGCATCCATTTTAACGTATTGCCAAAAACTATGTCACCATGTCATGCGCCGCTGCCACGCGTCGAAGTAGGCGATGGGCCTGCCAAAACCACCGCCAGAAACCAGCCAACAAATATCCCACAATCCTAAGGGTGATTCCAAAAGATGGGCGGATTTTTAATGTTTAGTAATGAAAAATACACTTTAACTAACTAACTATACACTAAAAAATTAATGAAAAATAACATAAAATTACATAAATACGAAATATGAAAATTGAATAGAGATATTCAAGAAAAAGATTTCACGGTAATTGTATATTAATTTGTCATATGATTGAAGTGAGATCTTATTTTTCAACACATTCCCTCACGAGTGGCCCTACATGGGTCACAAGGGAAACCAATTTTCACATCTGTAACTGGTCACATCACTACCAGAGCTAACTCAAATTTTCAAGAGCCCGGTAATCATTCAAGGACTAGAGCTAAAGCAAATTTTCGTTGGTCCAATCAGTCAATAACCTTAAACTGGAGCTAGTGCACATTTTTGAAAAGCCCATTTTAAGGAGATAAATTTGAGCCTAGTAAATCGGGCCCAAAATGTGTCAAAAGAATAACCTGCTTTGATACCATGATAAACTTTTTAGGATCAGTGTGGTCCACCACCAACATTTTAGATATTATCTCAACTTAACCACCTATTGCAAGGTGTTGGGTTTTATCACAAACGCCTTGGTGATATTAGGGGTAGGAATTGTATATTATTTTGTCATTTGAGCGATATGGAACCTTATTCTCCAACAATTGTCATACTCATTTGTCCAATTCATAGCTTGCCCTATTTGAAGAAGTAAACTTGTATAGATTGTTGGAGCAAATTCCTCCCGACCAGCGTGAAAGTACCCAAATGAGTATTTAGAACTCAGTAAATGTCACAAATGTTGATTACAGAGAATAATGGGAGAGAATGGGATTATATACCAGTTTACAATTAATCATGCTCATCTCCTAAGCTATGCTTAACAAACACATACTAACATAATACACACGTGGCATATAAACATATATGCCAAATAATTAGAACCATCAACCTCCCATCTGGAGCTAAAAAAAACTCACATCTGATCACACAGAGACATAAAAAGGCATCAACTCCCATACTCTTAAGACTGTGACAAAGTTCAAATATGGGCTTTATTGCTAATGAGAATTCTAGAGAGCTGAGTTCATGCAAGGACAATGCATTAGGCCTGGACTAATTTAGAAGGATTTGAGATCAGAATTCAAAGTCAAACAAAAGCCCAAATAGGCTAAAGCTGCCGGCAACTGAATTCTATTTGTACGCTTGAAAAAGGTCATAACACAGCCACTCCTTCTGAGATAAGATATTGTGTTTGGTAGGTTACTGTGTTTGCTCCTCCTCATCCAACTTTGAATCGCATAGAGGTTAAATTATCACTATGCTTCTCTTCTCAACATCGTTTTGCCTTCCGGTATTTGCAAAAACATCTAAACAGTGTGCCTGACAAATTATTTAGGTGCCAGATTGACGAACAAACACAAACAATTACAGGTATGTTTGATTACTATTTAGTTTTTTATTTTTATTTTTTGTGTTAGTGACATGGGAAAAATAATTGGAAAAAAAAAAGAGGGATGAAGAAGAGTGAATGAAGGATACCTTCACGCTGTAATCAACATTTGTAACATTTACTGAATACAGGTAAGATATGTATTGGAAGACACAAAAAATGAGAGTATGATGCTTGCATTTTCTCCTTGGGGGAATTACCTCATTCCTCCACTTACAAATAATATATCTTCACCGTTAAATCTCTTAATCTTCATTTGAAAATCATCCCAACAATAAGTCATTCAAATCGGAAATCGTTTAGTCATCCAAATGTATCAAACAAATCAACGGTTCATCATGAATATGTTACTTGGTATTTACACCATTGATTTTTTTTGATACATTGGGATTACTAAAACGGTCTTTGATTCGAATGAATTTCATATGGATAAAATTCATATGCCGATTACGAGATTGAGCAATCTCAATTATGAAACTTTAAATAGTAAACATACGTTATTTGAAAGTGAAGAAATGAGCTAATTCCCCAGGTGGAATACAACTATTATCCAAAATGAAACTAAAAATCTATGTCAAACTCTTTTCACTTTAAAAAATTTGTATTTATTCCTTTCATCTTTACTTAATGTTTTATATATATATTCTTCTCGCGTATCACAACCATTAAAATAAAGTGAAAATAATTATCAAACAGATGTTGAGCTATGAGCTATGTGCTATAAGTTTATACAATCATCTTAATGAGTAATCTTCCATTTGAATATATTGTTTAACGAACATCCATTTGAATATGTTGTTCAACATGTTCGTTAATACCTTTTGCATAGACATGAATTGAATCCAACGGTTCTCATCGCACAGTACAATTTACCAATTTGATCGCACGCATCTTGGACGACGACATGAGAAATTTAGAACAGTAAACCCTAAACCATCGCGCTCTCTCTCTCTCTCTCTCTCTCTCTCTCTCCAATTATACAAGTCAGAAAATACTATACAAAGTCAACGGCAAGAGCAAAAGAGAGAGGGAATTCTTTTCTACTGGTATTACTTATAAGTTATAACTTATAAGTAAGGACTCTTGACCAACATCTCGTAGTTGTCAACTGCACTTGTGGGGACCGCCACCATCACCTTAACAGATTCCCCCTGTTCATCATCACCATCGCCAGAACGTCCAGCTGGCAAAAACAAGCAGTACCTATCGCTGCATACGGGCCCCACGTGAACCGGCTTCCCCATCCCGAAGTCAACCCTCTCCAGCCCCAGCCTTGACCACTGCGACACGATCAGCACCCCCACAGAGTCCGGACAGGCCCTCCCCTCCCCGCTCACCAACTCCACCACCCTCCGCACGTGCTCCTCCTCTACCCTCTCCTTTGCGCGCTTCACCAGCTCAGCCGCGTGCCACAGACCCTTCTCCTCCAGCTCCCTCGCGCTGCATTGCGCGCACCCCAGCACGAACGCGTTCCCGTAATACCCACCGGGTAGACTCGGCCTGACTCGGTCACGTACGTTCACGCTGAATAAAATCTTTAGGGTTTGGTTTGGTGGTAGGTTCAATGCTCTTGCCCAACTGCGCCACACGTGGGCGGAGAGGACCTCGAACGACGTGTACGCTGATAACGAGGTACTGGGTCGACTCGTCGACACAGCGAGTTTCTTCAGCTCAATTAAATGTTTTTTATGGAAAGTGATCGAGGTGGGGGCGAGTCGTTCGTTGGCGAACCGAGTCACGAAGCCGGAAACGTCCGGGACCTTGCTGAACTCGGGGTGACTCGCCGCCTTGATTATGCGATGATGACATGGATTTAATGCACGATTTACGGGTTGTGGGTCCAGAAGGTGGCGATCCCATACAGGCTTGGGTTTGAACTCGCTAGTGAACCCACGCTTTCCGGCTGCCAGCCCGGCAAACGAATTGAGAAATTCGGCGCTTCCGATCCCGTCGCAGACGCAGTGGTTGAATCCCACGCCAAGTGCCGCCGCTCCATCTTTCAGCCACGTCAGTTGGACAACGAGCGGCGGAGCCCCTTTAAATACGTCAGCCACTTGGAGCGACAATAGCTTCCTCCACTCGGTGACGTAGCGCGGAGCCCGCTCAAAATTAGAGACCGCAACATTGTCGGAGACAGCTTCAATGAACACTGCGCCCTGAGCCCGACATACCACCTCGAGGCTGAAGCCATCGGGCTTGGGGCGCACTCTGCCTGCTAGCGGATAGTAAGGCACCAAAGCCTGAGCTAGTGCAGCCTTGACACGCGACGCAGTCGAGGCCTGATTCAGTTCCGGGCAAGGAGTGTAGACCAAGAGGTACTCGATGGTGAAGCGTAGGAAGAGCTGCGAATCGACGGCGGATAGGTTGAGAATGCAAGGCGGGGTGGGCGCGGAGGGCGTGACCACCACGGCCTCCTTTACACGGACAGAGCTTCCCATATCCTCTACTTTATAATGATCAAATAAATGAAGAATTTAATTAAACCTTGAGTTTTGTGTATTTTGGGCAATGTGGGGGGGGGGGGGGGGTAGGGTTTTTGAGTTTGGTTTTTTTTCAGCTGAGCAATGGATGAATATATAAGAGAGAAAGGAATTTGTCGTGTTTAAGAGGGGTGTAGTAAAGTTCAGATTTGAAGGATTTTAAAGACTATAGAATCAGAGTGTAGTTAATTTAGGATTTTTAAAAAGGACTTTAAGGGGGCATTTGTTGCGCTGGACTATCTCGGATTGGACTAGCTTTAAGGACTAAGTTGGACTGACTTAGACTAGACTAAGCTGGACTAACTTAGTGAAACGTTTGGTGCAGTGTTGGACTAAGAAGCTGGATAATAACAAATTCTAATATTATATTATTTAATATATAAATTATTAATATTTTATTATGATCTAGGTGACCGGAGATGACGAGGAGTCTATCGAGAGTGGTTGTTGAGCATGACGAGGACGAGAGAGGATAGTCTTAGCTACTCCCATGGTTATTGGGGGGTCTCGCTAAGACCACTTAGTGAAGGGTTTTGTCCATGCTAGTTCCCTTTAGTCTCATTAATGTTAGTCCCAGCATGGAACAAACACAGTATTGGACTAACAGCTAGTCCAGTCCAGTCTAATCTCACTTAATAAGGGCAAACAAACGCCCCTAAAGGATTTTGAAATTATGAGGTACTGAAAGTAGAATTTAATAGAATTAAAAAAAAATGTATTGAGCTCAGATATAGTCAATTAAGATTTTTAAAAAGTCTATACAAATCTATATGTATTCAAAATGTCATTAATCTTGAAGAATTTCATTAAGGGTTTGTTTGAAAGTAGTACTTTTAAAATGACTGAAAGTGATTTTGGTGAAATTGATTTTGGGTTATCGGAAGCATTTTAAGTGCTTTTTAGAAGAAGCATCAGATATGTGATTCTTATAAGATGTACCTAAAAAGATTTTTTGGAATTCACTTGAATTTTTACCAAAGATTGGTTTAAACAATATCTTTACCAAAAACGTTTCAAGCCATTTTAAAAAAGCTTGCAAATGAAGATTTTGTAGAATTTAAAAATAAATTTTATGCATTACGAATTTCATCTCCACCACTAGAATTTCTTTTCAAGTTCCTCTGCCGCTCTCTATCACCACTAACATGTTATCTGGAAAATACACCTTACCCCTTCTCCAGACCCAATGGGACTAGTACGAAATCTCTCTGATATTCTCTCGCTGCGTGTGTGTATATGTATATACTTGTATCTAAAACCAAAGATTCTCTTTGTATCTCAAAACCCGTGTCAAAGAAGAACACACTTTGCTCTACTGGCTTCTTCTTCACCAACTCTACCTTCGGATGTGACATGTTCCCAGATTCTGACCCGAATATCCCCGGAAACCGTAGGCAGTTGCAGACTTGTCTCGAATGAATGGAGCAACGCCAAGAAGTTACATTGCTAAGCCACTGTTCTTCCTTGTAAAATTACATGCTAAGCCGTTGTTCTTCCTTCTCTCTCTCAAGCTAATTTTACTGCTGATGGAATCCAATCCTTGACAAACAACCTTTGTTACACACAAGGTCTAAAATATCGATATTATCCCGATATTTCCATTGAAATTTATGTGTTTTTGGACTACTGATATTTCTGATATCATCGATATTTTAAACCTTGATAGGAACTCTATGTGGTACTAAGTCACTCATGTATCTTACCATGCAATGTATAAAGTGTAAAATATTATACTAATTCATTATATATAAATGATTATGGTGTATTTAAACTTTTTTCATTAATTACTACATATTTTCTACAATCATAATGTTTGCCAGCTCGTTATATAATCAACTTAAATCAGTTAAATCCATTATGCAATGCATTTCCTTCCAATTTTTTGTGATAAACTATTAGATAATTGACTAAATAAACATCCTGCAAAGTTTCAATAAAAATTTCTTAGTTTTTCTTACAATTTCCGTGATTTTTATTCAATTTTTATGGATATCGATAATATCCCGATATTTCCATCGAAATTTTCGTGTTTTTGAACCATCGATATTTCTAATATCATTGATATTTTAAACCTTAGTTACACATATGCAAGGAATCCATAGAGATCTACATTAGAAACGAATATAAATTTGTTAAAATTCATATAAAATTATCAAGTTTATAAATATTATCGAGAATCTTTCACTCGGAAAAGTCAATACATTAAAATCTTCTAAAATTCAAATTAACCGCGCCCCTTTAACAAATCCAAGGCCATGTGTGTATGTTTTGCTGATTTGGTAACTGTGAAAGATTTGTACAAGATTCTCTGTGTGTTACTTTATGGAAAAAATTAGTATAAAAACAAAAAACTATTGTCAATTATTGCCTTCCCTTACTGATAGGTCTCTCTCCTACCGGTAGACTGATGAAAATATATACAAAGAACATTTTCAACTAATCACTTAATCAAATATTTAATTAGTATATTCACTTTGTCCGGTGATATTAATTATTGAGAAACATTTATAGTATAATAAGTAACATCATTTATACTAATTTTTTTTTAACAAATGATAAGATAATTTATACAAAATCTTTTTAAACTACGAAGAGGGGAATTCAAATGTAGATCCTCAAATTCAAGCCGAATCCTTTTAACCAATTAAACTAAATCTCTTGACATTATAAGTGCTTTATTGGAAAATGCACTTTTAAGAAGCTTATTTGCGAAAAATCCCCATTTAAAATAATAAATTTGAATTTAGTATTACTAGATTAGTTGGAGTAATATACATAAAATCCTAACTAAAATCTTAACTATAGTTCGGTTTAGATGAATTGTGTGCACCCTTAGAAATGTAATAGTTTGTGTAATGTGTTGATTATTCGCTTAATAATACTTTACTACTCAAAAGATGAGTAGGGATTCCTCCTCAAAATTGTCATTGCCGATTTACAGAATTTTATTTTTATGATCCGAACCATTCTTATTATAAATTAGTATTATTAAAAATAGATGCACATAAATACATAATTGGTAAAAGCATTACAAGTCATCTATGTATTTATTACAATAGATTGAGTAAACGGCTTTAGGTTTAATTCAAATTTTGTAGAGATGATTTTTACAGAGTAATTTTCAATGTCAACTGTTCTTATCATAAGTACAAAGTTTTATAATTCGAACACTAAATTTTTTGAATAGAATATCTTACTCATTCTTGAGTAGCCAACATTATTCTTATTCGTTATATGTATGTTTTAATTTAGTTACAACAAGTAGGTGTTTTATATAATTTTGTGGCAGGTGTAGGGAACTGATGGACGTGGAGACTGATACCTGTCTACTACTTGTCTGCGGTCTCTTATGCAACAAGATATTGGCACAATCATAACAACATCACGTAAAACCTGCTTTGTATGGCTGGATGTCAAGATAAAAAACTGGCCTTTTGGGGACGTTTTGCTTTTGGAGTAGGGTCTATAATTAAAAGGCAATTTTTAGTATTATTTATCTCACTTTCTTATAATTTTAGGACGGGAAATGTTATTCTCAAATTTATTTTTATTTTTCACATATTTTTTTTAATTTTTGATTGTTGAATTACATAATTCGAAGAAGATCATGATAAAAAATTACAAAGTGTGCAAAAAAATAAGTGTATAAATAACACTTTCTTTTAGAATATCCATCATCCACTGCCACTATCCCACTCCCACATCACACATAGAAAAACAAAAGACAAAAACCATGTGAAATAGTTAGAGGATTGTAATCGAAGATAGATTAGTCTGGTTTTATTTTAAGGAAAACTAATGAAAAGAGCTTGAAAACTTTGAGTTTTAATGATAAGGACAAAATAAAGGGTAAAGTGAATAGTACCAGATTTGACTTTTTAGTGTAAAAATGTGGTTTTTCGTTAAAGTGAACAGTACCGTGGGCTTTTCGTTAAAACTTCCTTTATTTTAATTTTATATGTTATAATATGAGTGCATTATTTGTTGATTAATTATAACACATGTTATGCACATATTCTTTGTTCAATATATAATTAGTGTTTTCGTAGAGCGTAGGGAAGCTGGTGAACGAGAAAGGGTAGGGGAAGAAAGGAGAAGAGTACGACAGGAGAAGAAATGTGAAACTTTAACGTTTGCTAAGTCTTAAGGTTTTTCCTTTGTCTTTTTTTTTTGTCTTCTCAATGTTATTTGGTTTTTTAGTTCTTTTTAATTGAATAAAAATTCATATAGTTTTAAATGATATGATTGTCCACCTAAAATGTCACTTAAGATAGTTTGACATTATAGTACGAATATAAGGTAAAAGTAACGTTTTCCTATTTTAAAACTGAGATTTAAGTACTATTAAATTAAATGTAGTCTAAACATTAATTTAGGAGGAGGCGAATCAGTAGGAAGAATTGTGCCTATCACTGTATCACATATAATTGACTCTTTTTACCAGATGCTGACTATTTGATCAGACACATTGCCTATTGTCTAAGCCCCATGTTCGATGGATCGGATTGAAAATACATGTTTTCAATTTCCATAAAAAAAAATTTCGGAAATGCATATCAGTTTTAATTTCGGTATTTCATACATTCATACCGAATTCGGTATTATCATAATCGAATTATTTTGAAATTTTAAAATTATTGGAGTTGTATGTGTTGACTGATATACACATAAGCAACATACCACATTAGCAAGGTTGTTATCCACATCAGCTAATCTGTCAGTTAGACAGTTAGGGTTGTAGGAAGCTATAAGGTGGTTATTAGTTTGTTAGAAACTTACCAAGAAAGAAAAGAGCATGTATAAATAGAGAGCCTCTCTCTCAGACTTGTATCGAATTCATTCTGCAATATAAAAATCCTTATTCATTCTCTCTCTCGCTCTTTGTCTCTCTCTCTCTCTCTCTCTCTCTCTCTCTACTTCTTTACAACTTGATATTACTTTGCTCTTCTTCTTCGATTCATAGTGTAGTGTTAAAATGTGTACTTCATGCATTTCAAGTAAAATGTGTAGGCAACATTTTCCTGTAAAACAAAGTAGTGCTA